GCAGCTCGTTGGCGTCCTGGGGGAAGGCGGGCGACACCGTCGTCGAAGCGCTCCTTGGCCTGTGCGTCCGCCCGCCTCTTCCCCTCGTGAATGGCCGTGTGCATCTGAAGGCGGTGGATGGACGGGTCGAAGGGCTGGTCTGGGTGGGTGCCATGCTGAATGGCGGTGGTGAGCACGTTGGTGCCCTGGACGGACGTCTTGTACGCCTCAGCGACCCGCTCGGTCGGGTCGCGCACCCCTGTGCCGCCATGCCGCGCCGGCAGCAGCATGACTGCGGCCTCGGCATCGTATATGGGCAGCAATCGGTCCCTGTTAGTGACATACTTTGTTCTGCCGCCCATGCGCCACAGAATTCTGCCCGTCTTGCCGCTGTGAGGAGGGGGCGTCTGGGGGCCTGTGATCCCGTCAAGCCGGCCAGCGCGTCCTCGCAGAGGGAGTCAGACAGACTCAAGACCTCAAACCTCTGGATGGGGGACCCGTGTATGTGCGCCAAAGGGGCAGGCAGCAACAATACAGCCATCGGTGTCTAGTGGTGTCACGGGATCATCCGTCAAATGTGTGCCGTGAGTGCCTCGAGATTTGCAGCGAATATGAAACGCTCGTTGATGGGCGCTCGACGCCACCGTGGGCGGGCCGCACCATCCAATGTCCACACACATATGCACCCAGGCTCATCCATCGTCCATCAAGCATGGAACATGCACCAGGGTGGATGGACAGGACACAACTCGCCAGCGAGGGCGGAGCTGATTGGTCAGTCAGTCGTATCCATCCAACCCCGCTTTTGTACGAACATACCCCCGCAATTGACCATGAGAGGCATCGCCAGATGGGCAGATCACCTGCCGAACTGCAGACAGGCGCTGGGCGAAGCCCTGCAGCTCTGAATGCAGCCAGCAACACATGAATCCCCACATCACAGCTGGGTGAAGTCGTGTCTCCCTGCATGCAGCCCCAAAAGGGTGCAAAGCAGGGCCGACAGGGGGAAGAATCATGCCTCACATGAGTCGGTTGCATCAAGGAAGGGGGAGACACGAAGATCATGGACAGAAAACACATAGATCTTGGGTCTGGGAGGATGGATGGGAGCCCAAGGTGCGACGCACGACGAGCAGGGCAATCCAGCTGGGGAAATACCCCGGCGGACTCAGCCTCTCGACAGGGAGAGCCCCTTCTCTGCGCGGATGCGTACCCCCGGAAACTGCGCGGATGCGTACCCCCAGAAACTGTCTGGCGCCCATCCGCAGTGGCCAGCTGCCAGGGCACGACCTCTCACCGGACGACAGTACACAGTGCCCCAGTCCTTCGCGGGATGCGTGCCGAATGACCTTGCCCGCCTGCTTTCATGCGGTGCTGTCGTGCAACTTACCTGCGGCAATGGGTGGACGTCTTGCTGCCCCGGAGGGCTCAGAGTGGCAGGCCTGAAGCCATGTAGGGGGAAGGCGGAAAACGTCAATGCCGTACGGTAACGTTAAATCGAAGGCAGATGGTCTTTCCACAACGATGAAAACGTCAAAAGCACTCCAAAACCACGAAGACGATGCATGTACGAGACAACGAGACAAAAGAAACGATCGAGGAGTAAGCATGAGGTGCATTCATGCTTTCTTGGCATGTACTCGCGCGTGCAAGGCCCCACTTTGTCTGTCTTCCCCTCCCCCCAGCACAACGAGTCTTCAGACGGCTTTCCAACTGCAATTTGTGCCAGTGTGCGACTGCGATATTGTCTCTTTCCTACTCTTTCCTATGAACATTGACCTATTGAAGCTTGCCGTTCGAAGCCCCCTCCCCCGTTCAAGGGGGAGGGGGCGACATTGCACGGTGCGCACAAACATCTGACTTCACAGGATGTGCTTTCACTGCAATCACCCATCAAAAACAGTCGATTCCCGGCTTCTGGACCAGTCCTACGCTAATGACTGAGTCCTTTTCATCCGCTCTCCCCGGATCCTTGCAAAATACAGTCAGATTGTTGAGGCTCCTGCATCCTCCCTTTCACGATCTACCCTAAACCTCAGCCCGTGGCCAATCGCGATCATCATCGTGTATATACGACTTTGGTGCGACATTTTGCCTGGTGTCCCTTCCCGATCGCCTCCCATTACTCGGGGGCCCCTCCCCCCTCGTAACCGTTCGTCGAGCCGCGTTCGCGGCGAGGCCCATCTAGACGCGTGCATGCTAGCCATGCGCAAACGGGCAGCTGGGGGCGAGACTTGGCCGGGCGAGACGCTCGGCGGCCAGGTTTCGCCAGCCCAGCTATTGTACATCTTCAGCTGACTGATTTCTAGCCTACTGATACCTTTCCTCCGCTACCGACAGCCTCGCCCGTCCAGCCCGTGCATGGGCGACAAGAAGCCCAAGGATGGCAAGAGTGGAGGCAGCAGCGAAACCACCGCAGCGCCCATAGGTACGCNGCACAAACAGATAGAGATCTGCCCAATGCGCACGGCTGCGCCGTCAGATCAGATAGATCTCGTGTGCATACGCCCTCGGGCATGGATGCTTTGTATAGAGAATGGCTCACCGACACCTTTCGTGTCGGGTTCTTGCCTTCTGTGTGGGCGCACTCAGTTTTGCCGGCCGTCGGCTCCTGGGAGCCATCGGGGCCTCTGAGTGGTTCAGGCACACAAACACCGAATGGTAAGAGGGCACGCGCACGGCTTAGCCGTCACTATGTGCAGCGCATCTTCCTCTCTCGTGTGTGTATGTGTTCAGACAGTGGGCGGGGCGTGGCCAGCAGCGCCATAGGTGGCGCACGCACGTTGGTGGAGAGGGAGGGCCATGCAGCAGGCATCTCTCTGGCCAGCGCCGGCCTCTCTGCCTTTGTGCGCGTCACTGACGCTTGTTCCTGGCGTGAGGGGCGAGATCAGCCTCAGCATCCGAACACAGACATGTGAGCAGCAGGGAGAGACCCATTTCTGCATGTCTGTTCAGGTTAAGGCTGGATCGGCAGCCCTCGGCAGGCACCCATTGCAACAACGGCTGCTGCCGGCGCCCTTGCCCTGAGTCCGTAGACTAGGTAGAAAGAGATGAGTGGGATAGTGATGGTAGGTAGGGGATGGTTGGTTGTGTCTGTGTCTGAGGGCGTTTGAATGGAGGACAAGAGAACCGTGCGTGCATACATGGATGCAGTCGCAGTCAAGTTCATTGTCCCATCGTCCATCAGTCTCAAGTCGACTGGCCACTCAGAGACACAAGGTCACCACATAACAGAACACGCACGCGATGTCAAGCACAGTATCAGCGAGGCGCGTCAGCCACGCAGAAGTCGAATCGACTCTCTCTCTCGTCTTGAGAGTCGCCAGGGAAGGTCGTTCGGAACGACGGGAGTGCTGGAGGGGAAGCAGAAAGGTGAGAGGCAAGATCACTATCAGATCTCGCCAGGGATTACTGGGATGGCCACCAGTCGTGATGGGAACAACAAAGAAAGGCTAGAATGATCACCGGAAGGAAAAACAAACGAAAGAACGCTCGTTTGTTGTAGATTGGTAAGTTCGTAGCCGAAAATCTGCTGAGCTCGCTCGATCTCCCTACCAGCTCGCAAATGAGCGATGTGGAAATTCACATCGCCTTTTTGGCGAGCTTTTCCTTCCGTTTCTCCCCGCCCTAAGCACTGTGCGTACATGTGGGAGGATGGCTCGGGAGAGCCGTGTCCTTCCACTTTTATGCCAAACGCACCAACGAGGAAGCAACAGTGGCAGGAAGGCCGCGCGCTGATGGATGGAACGACAATGGCGGCCCAGAGTCTTCCCTCCCTTCATCAGCGCAGCGGTAAACATCACGACATGCGCACGAGAAACCCCTTTATTCACTCCCATACACATCATTGACCTGTCATCTCATGCACCCTGCAACATTTCCCTCCCTTCACGTGCTGAGCTCCGAGCAGCACTTATTCTATTCGTGCAGGGTGCACGTGACGCATGGTGCCTCACTGATCATTTATACACTGACATGCACACCTACAGGCACGCTTACATGCACACCTACATTCACATTCCACGCACAAACTCCTGCTTCGCCTTGGGCACGGCCCAACCCATCAATGAGCGTCCCTCAGTGTTCTGGTGATTGGCGACGAGGACCGGCTGCTGTGCAGCGCCCTTCTCAAAGGCATGGGAGTCCTCGTGCTCTTGCGGCAAAGCAACTAGCAGACAAACACTATCACGCAATCCTGTCCACATGTAAACTACCTAACCTGCCCCCAGGCCCCACGAAATGCATGCAACTCAACGAAATGGAGCAGGGAACACCTTGAGAAACACCGACACGTCTTCTCTATTCGTCCATCGACTGGGGCTTGTCCTCCTCCTGCTGCTGCTGTGGCGCTTCCAGTCCATCCTCGCACTCATCTCTTTCCTTCTCCCATTGGAAGAACCGGAGAAAGTCAGCCAACGATATGGTGCACTTCATACCCACCAGGCTCTGCTTCTTCAACCGCTTTGTTCGTGTGGGTTCTCTCAGATAATGCAGCTCAATGCCATCTTTGTCCAACCGCGTCACCTTGACAGTGTGCTCACGAGTGAGCTCCTTGACGTGACGGATCCTCACAGTGGAATACAATGCGGGAAGCAGCGAATCGTCCCGAAGGTCAGAGCCACTCTCACGATTCTCATAGTCTTGCACGAGCTCTCTGCAACTCAGGCTGCTTTCGTCTTCCCAGGTGGCATGTGATAAGGGATACCACCGCCACTTGAGCTTGTATTGCACCTTGCCTCTGTGCGTCCTCTTGCCGACAATCGCTTCCACTTCATGCACAACACCCTTTTCGAAGCGTGGGTCTGGCTGAATGTCTCCCAGGCATAAGTCATCCTCGCCTAGACCAGCAGCTCCTTCACGTCTCCCTTCGCTGTCCCTCTTTGCGGCTGGCACACGGTCTTGCCCGACAGCAAAGTCCTTCAAGAGATCATCTTGGTCAGGGGTCAAGAATGCGTCCTGATTGAAAACTGTCTGCCTTCTATCCCTTCGCAACAAGCCGCTGGAGACCTCAACAGCTCTCTCATCGTCTATGTGCTGCTCCGACGACGATGTCGCAGCCTTCAGCCGATCAACGTTCAGATTCTTGGCCTTCGCCGCACATACGCACCTTGTATGTGACGGGCCCTGTCTTGCTCTCAACAATTTCAACCGTCCGCCAAGGTGAGATGAGCTTCTTCGTAAGGCCCTTTGGCACCTGATCATTGAAAATTCGCACTCTGTCTCCCGATTTGAATTCCCTTGGTGCAGGCAGGTCGCTCTCACGAGCAGCCACTTGTTGTTTCGCTCTATCCATGTTCTTGCGAGCCTCCTTATGGATGGCTTGGATGCCTTCGACTATCAGCTTGACGGCATCATCGGGATCGATTGTCTTTGCCGCCGTCTCATTCATTGCGACGAGCCGTGCGGTGCTGCCAGGGTGGACTGCCTCGCGCCCGGTCAGCATCTTGAATGGCGTAAAGCCAGTCGACTCATGCTCCGTCGTACGGTACGCATACAGGAAAAGAGGGATGACCCTGTCCCAGTTGGTCTGTTTCTTGTTCAGATACGGGCGGATTCTGTCTTTCAGAGTGCGATTGAAGCGCTCAATCATGCCATTGCCCTGTGGATGCATCGGCGTTATCGTTGTGTGTTTGATTCTCAGCCTCGTTGTCACTTCGCGCATCAGCTGATTGACGAAATGGCTTCCATTGTCGGTGAGAATCTCCTCCGGCAGACCATGTCTCACAACGACTGCCTCCATGAGTGCCTTGACTGTGTCTTCAGCTGTTGGCGCTTTGTTCAGAGTGACAACCTCTGGCCACTAAGTGAATTCATCCTGAACGGTGAGGGCAAACTGGTTGCCAGCCTCCGTGGGTGGAAGAGGACCAATGAAGTCCATGGCCACCCTCTGGAATGGTCTCTCAGCTGGTGGTATCTGTATGGTTGGTCTCTTATTTGCCTTCAGGTTGCGTTTGCTCTGACATGCAGCACACGCCTCAATGTGCTTCCGAAAGCTCTCGTACATGCCTGGCCAGTAAAACTCTCTCGCCATCCTCTTGTAGCCTCTCTCTATCGCCAGGTGACCAGCCAACAGATGCTCGTGGTGCAGTTTCATGGCTTCTTCTCGCAGGGATGTGGGAACGAGTAACACGGGCCCATACTCTTGATGCTTCGACATCACTCTCACCAGCCCGTCGAGTAGGCAAGCGTCGTAAAGCTTCGACCAATATGCCTTGGGAACGGCATCATGCAGCTGATCGAGCTCTTCTTTGCTTGCGTTGTTGTCTTTTGCTGTCAGGAAGGCTTTCACTCGTGAGACATCAGCACATCGATCCTGGGCTTCGATGATCTGATCGACGTGGAATGGCTTGCTGTCATCCATGGCCTCCAGATTGATGGTGCCCAACTGGTACGTATCTGCATCGCTCGAGACAGGAACACATTCATTGTTCTCCTGTCCGCAGGGTCTCGAGAGCGCATCCACATCGGTGTGTCTCTTTCCAGGTCGATAACGAAAGACGAAGTCATAGTCTTGTAACATGAGAGACCACCGCTGCAGCTTGCGATTGCCGTCCTGGGCGAATTTCAACGCTCTCAAAGCTTGGTGGTCAGAAACAAGCTCGAATCGTTGCCCAAACAGGTACGGGCGAAAATGACGGACCGCGTAGTAGATGGCATGTGCTTCTCTCTCTGTCGCTGACCACTTGCGCTCAGATATACCCAGGATGGCACTTGCGTAATGGATCGGCCTCTCCTGTCCCTTGCCGTCTCGTTGACAAAGGATCGCCCCAACTGCGTATCCACTCGCGTCCGTCTTGAGAATGAACGGCTTTTTGAAGTCGGGCAAAGCTAAGATAGGAGCTTCAAGCATCTTCTTCTTGAGGGTCAGCAGAGCGTTCCGCTCGGCGTCTCTCCACACAAATGGGTATTCTTTCTTTGTCAGGTCGGTGAGGGGTCTTGCTAAGTCGGCGTAGCTCGGCACGAATCGCTTGTAGTATTGGAAAAGGCCCAAGATGCTCCTTACTTCCTTCTTGTCCGTCGGCTCAGGCATGCTGATCATCTTCTCCACTTTCTTGGGATCGGCTTGAAGGCCTTTCTCGGAGACAAGGAAGCCGAGAATGGAAATTTTGCGCGCAAAGAAGGTGCACTTGCTTGGCTTCACCTTAATGTTTGCGGCCTGGAGAAGCCGGAACACGTCGAGTATGTGTCCACAATGCTCCTCGAAGGTACGCGAGAAGATGACAATGTCATCTACGTACACAAATGCACTCGTCCACAGTGCCTGCGCTAGCGCTTTATCCATGACTCGTTGGAATGTCGCTACGCTGTTGCAGAGGCCCATCGGCATGCGAGCCCACTGCTTCTGTGTCTGTCCATCGATTGAAAATGCTGTCTTGTGTCGGTCGTCGGGGTGCACTTCAACTTGCCAAAAGCCTGATGTCGCATCAAGCGTGGTAAACCAAGACATACCATGGAGGCACTCGAAGCATCGACCGATTAATGGTGGCGCGTAGCGGGACTTTTCTGTGATTTCGTTCAGCCAGCGATAATCGATACAGAGGCGTCAAGAGCCATCTTTCTTCCTCACCATCACAATGGCGGCATTGTACTCAGAATCCGCAGGCTCGACGATGCCCGAGGCTTCCAAGTCGCCAACAATCTGCGCTGCTGCCTCTTCCTCAGCTCGTGCCAACCTCCGTGGATTCATGTATGGAGGGATGCCACTAATGTTGATTCGATGGACACCAAAAGACGGATCGACATGGCCAAGGTCAGTCTTGTCTCGCGAGAACATGCCTGTCCCTTGTACGTCTTTGATCACCTGAGCTGCCCGTCTCTTCTGTTGGTCTGTCAGGCCTTTGCCGACCTGTATCTCATGCTCGATACCATCCGCATTTGGGGAGCCGCGGACGTCCTCTGTCTCTGGCGTCGTCCCCATAAGGTGGTCAAGTCGCTCTCGATCGATTTCAGCAGGTACAAGGTCAGTTTCAGCCAGCTTGGCTGCCGCGATATGCTGTGTCTCATTCGTAGGTGGCTGCGATAAGGAGATCGCATCCTCAAGGCCCGTGAATGCGACGAACCAGCCCAACACATGGTTCCTTGGGAGGATGACTCTCTTTGCCGAAAGATTGTGGAGCTTCACGTACACACGACGGCCTGTCGTCACCTCCATCACATCCTTCTCTACCCGAATGTAAGCTCCTCGGTGGTGTGTGAGCCCTGGATGCTCCAACAAGCGTCCAACCTCTCCTATTTGTCGTTCAGGTCCACTCAACCGCGCTCGCACCCATGTCTCCTTGCCCGCTGGTATGGGTGTCTTGGCTGTGACGACGATCTGAGTTTTCGGCTTCCTTCGTTCCTGTCCGGGTGAGCTTGATCTAACAAAACCTATAGCTGTGACACTTACGCCATCTGTGTCGTGCGCGTATGGCTCATGGATGCTCATAGGTGGCCATTCCTGTCTCGAGGTCACACGTATTTTGCCGATTCGATGATCTACAATGACCCTTCCCTCTCGGATCGCCTTTCCCCCAAGCAAGACGATAGCTTTGGGATCGTCAATGACACAGAAGTCAACAGTGATAGGTCTCATAGGCTGTCTCCCCTTATCTGTTGCCACTCCTTCAGGCAAGAGGGCGATTTGAGCGGCGCTATCGATCGCTACATCACCGTGGTGCAGCATGCTCAACTTCACACCCGTAATTGGCTTCATGACTATCTCTCCGTTGCCCTCCCCACGCAGCTTCCTCAGCATCCGTCGGCTTATCACACTGAGGTCAGCACCCGTATCAACAAGCACCTCACATAACACCCCATTCACCCTCATCAGCACATATGTCTGCCAGCGTACAGTTCGCAAAAGCTCACTGTGGTTCGCCTCCTGCTTTCGTGCATCTGTAGGAGCCCTATTGCTTCCACCACAGACTGCATTGACATGCAGAGAGACTCCCTGACCACTCTCTCTCTTATCAGCCACTGGTGGGCCCAGTGCTGCTACACCGACGGCATGCGAAGAAGAAGGCGTCCCCTCTCTTCGCCTACCGTAATCGACGACATCCGAGGAAGAAGGCGTCCCCTCTTCTCGTCCGCCGCCATCGGGGTTTTTGGCGGAGATAGCCCCGACCAGCTCCAGCCCTTCGTCAGTTGTCTCGGTGGATGCCCACACACCACCGGCAGTATCCGAGTCGTAGCCCTTATGTGAGACTCGCGCCAACCGACTGTCATTACCAATGTCCGCTGATGCACCAGGGCGTGCCGTCATGCACTGCCGCTTCGCCGATGCACCCCAAGGACCTACCGACCTGGACTGCAAGTTCTCGCCCAGTCCGCATCTGTCTGCGTCCCCCAGGCAATCCCTTGGCCCAGGCGCCGGGATAAACGTGTGGTCAGTATCTCTCGTATCAACAATGTCGACAACTATATTGGAATGGGGTTTCCTCTGTGCCTGTACACTCAGAGCGTCAACCGAGCCTGTCTCCTTCAAAAATGAGCTCTTCATCAAAGAATGCGCATGTAGGGCGTCGTCTGCCGATGCTGTGTCCTCTCGCCCGCCCTGAAGCGGAGGACTCATCCGTTTCCCAGCTGCGGGAGGTCAGGAGGAGGGAGCGCTTTAGCTTGAACAGTGTTTGCCCCTGTCAGTGTCGCTGCTTGCATTTGCTCAGGGGAAGGCGTCCATCCCTTCGGTCGCTTTCTACACCGGGCCCACTTGTGTCCATAGATGCCGCAGTAGAGACATCTGCCTGGGAACTTTCCTGCCCACTTATTAGTCCTCTTGTCTGGGTCTTGTGTCGCTGCTCTCTCTTCTCTTCTGTGTCTGCCCGACGCATCGTGTTGTCCCTTCAGGTCAGCCACTTCCGCCTTGAGCTCATTAATGGATGCAGTGAGAGAGTCCCGGCTCTCCGTCTCTTTCTGCTTGTCGATGCCATCTGCAGGTCTCCGACCGACCGCACCGATCTCAAATCGTGCACGTTTCGACGGTCTTGTCCTCTCGGCATCGCTCTCGCCATCGTCGTCACCGTGGCCATTGCCGCGCTTGCGTGTCCGCAACAGCCATACCTCTGCACTCAATCCGAGCTCCTTCACGGCGCTGAATGTGTGGGGGTCGTCGTCTTTGCGGTATATTTCGTCTTTCAGTCTAGGTAGCAGGCCATCGATGAATAACTCGACTGCCTCTCTTTCCGATTTGTGCGTGCGTGCCTTCTGGTAGATGTCGTTGAACTCATTGAACGCATCTTGGAACGATTGATCGGGCTTCTGTTTCCATGTCTTCATTTGCTCAGCTACGGCGATTGTCTGTGCCTGTTTCTGGCCAAACTCTCGAGCCAAGAAGTCCAAGAGCGTCTCCAGCTGTACGGCTTGGCTGTTGTCTCCCCATCCTGCCTGTGTGCTTATCCATCGAGTGACGCGAGTGCGTGCAGTGCCCCGTAAGGCGCTCATGATGAATGGAAGTATCTGGCCTCCTTTCAAATGGTACATGTTCTCAGCCGCCCTGACTTCATCAATGAATGCCTCCACAGTATGCTCTGCGCCTCCATCGAACGACTGGATGGACACCGATGGTTTCTGTAGGTCGTTTCGCCCCATCGACGGCAGCTCACTCAACTCTGCCTGCGACGGCGTCTGGCTTGGATGAGAACTGCTTGCTTCGTGTGTGAGTTCAGGTCCTTCACCTGGCAGCACCACGATGTCGGTGGTGTCGCCTCTGCGATTGTATGTTGGTGAGACATCAGCGTCTCCTTCACGCCGTGCATTCGCCGCACGCCGTGTCTGTCTCTTCATGGCTTTCTTGCCACGCTTCAGCACCTGCAGCGCACGTTTTTGTGTCAATGCGCTCTCCGCCCGTGCGGGAGGTGCCGATTCCGTGCTCAGACCGCTTCGTGTCCTCGCCATGACAGTGTCTCAAGTGTCACTTCACGGACTTCACCGAGTTGCTTCACGGCAGATGCACCAGAAAATGCTCGCCGCCTGTGTATGAGCTGTCTTTGAGACGAGCTGTGCCTAGTGGAGAACGATATGTGAAGTGATTGCCCGTTGGTTGACGATTTGGAGACACGAAGAAGAGGCTTTCACTTGTAACACACAGAGGTCTGTCCACACGCTACACACACAGTGTCACGCACACGAACACGCACGCGATG